CTGGGTCAGTTCGGTGACGACGCCGTTCCAGCTCGACGAGCCGGCGAAGGCGCCGTGCACCAGCACGATGGTGGGCTTGGGGGCGGCGGCCATCGCTGAGGCGGCGGCCAGCGTCAGGGCGGCGGCAGCGAGCGTCAGGGCACGCTGGAGGAGGTGAGCCATGGAGAGTCCTTTCATGGAGATGCCTCGGCGCAAGGCGGTCGGGAGGGGCGTCAAGCCAGCCAGGTCCGGCGCATCGAGGCGGGCGTCTTCCAGATGTGCCGCACCTGCAGCGCGATGCCCAGCAGGTAGGCGAGGAAGACAAAGCCGAAGAGGCGTTGCAGGGCGGGGTCGTCCGGCCCGGTGAAGAGCGGCGCGCCCGCGGGGATGCGCGTGAACGTCTCGTTCAGCGCCGGGATCATGTGGAAGAAGAGCGTGGTGGAGAAACCCAGCGTCTCGACATAGGTCGCCGCGCGGCTGGTGTGCCTGTAGCGGCCGGCGGCGATGGCCACGCCGAGCACGACGAGCGTCATCAGCGCCAGGCTGTGCGCGACGTTGAAGCCGCCGTGCATGAAGATGCCCAGGCTGGTCAGGCAGGCCAGCGCCGTGCAGGCGATGTAGGTCTTGCCCAACGCGAGGTCGGGGCCGATGCGGCCGAAGCGCAGCGACATGGCGAAGCCGCTGACGACGGCGACGAGGGCGATGGCGGTGTGCACTGCGCCGAGGGCGGAAAGTCCGAGCATGGTGAAAAGCCTTTCTGGGAGCGAGCCGGGGCGGAAGGGTCAGGGGCGGGCCGTTGGCTCAAGGGACGAGCGCCGCCGCTCGGTCAGGCCGAGCCAATGAAACGGTCGAGCCGCGCGGCGTTGAGCACGGCGAGCAGGCCGGTGGGCAGCCGGGCGATGGGCGTTTCACCGTCGAGCGCGGCGTTGCTGCACGCGAACCAGGCCAGGATCTCGGCGGCGTCCATGCCGCCTGCCAGTTCCTCGGCCACGGTGGCGACGTCTGCGCGTGGCTTCAGGCCGTCGGGCTGGAGCTGGAAGGCCGGCAGCCAGCGCTGCGAGCCGCACGTGATGCTGCGCAGCCGGCCCCTGCCCAGCAGGTCGTCCAGGTGGTGCAGCGGCCGGCCGTGCCGGCGCCAGCGTTCGCGCAGGGCTGTCTCCGCGATGAGCCCGCCTTCGTTGGCGAGGCGCCGGCGCATCACGTCGAAGAAGTCGTCAGCGGCGGGCCGGCGCGGGCATTCGAGGGCATCGAGACACATGGTTTGCGTCCTGTTCCTTGGCATGCCTGAAGGCTAGGCACGCCGCTCGCAACGCACGCCTCCCACATGGCAGTGCCGAGCTCTCCCATTCGGATGGTGCCGGCCGCGCGGCCTGCTTCCACAGTCAACGGGCGTTTCACGGCAGGAGCGAGCCATGTCCTGGGCACTGGGACTGTCAAGATTCATTCGAGGTGCTGTCATCGGTGCGGTGTCGTCACGTGCTGGACGGCTTCGTGGCGGCGGCGACCTTCGCCTTCCTCCATTTCGAGCCGGCGCTGGCGCCATCGCCCAGCGGGACGAGCCGTGAATGGCGCCCTGCCCCACCCCCATGCGCCCGGCCTGGGCGCCATCGGCATGCCCGGCCATGGCTCTGTGCTGGAGCGCCAGGCGTGCGCGTCCACGGCTCGCTATGTCTTCGAGCTGATCTGGCCGCAGGCGGGCATCGAATGTCACGCCGACGACGCGGGCTTGTGCGTCAACGTCTGCCAGGGCGGCATGCGCCATGCCGTGCAGGTGCCCTGGGCGCTCGTCGAGCTCGACCGCGGCCTGCTGCTGGTGCGGGCCGTCTACCGCGCCGGCCTGCCAGCGGTGCTGCAGCGTGCGGCCGCCGGGCTGTCGGTGTCGCTTTGACACTCGTCGTCGCGGTCCCGCAGCGCACGCGCCGCCACCAGCTCCGGGATGGCACTGCCGTCGTCGATGGCCTGCAGCAGCTCGCGGAGCGTCTTCAAGACTTGCCGCCTCGCGCCCTGAGAAGCCGCCCCCGCCGCCAGGCTCAATGCGATCCGCAGCATCCAGAACCGAGCGCCCTGGGCTTCGGCCAGTTGCAGGGCCTGCCGCAGCCGCGCCGCCGCGGTGCCCGGCGCCTCGCCGGACTCATCGAGCGCGACGAGG